CCCAACCCCCACCCACCCCAATAAATAGGAGAAAAAGAGAAGAAAGACAAAATACTGTCCACTACGTGACATGAATAGAGAATCATGCTCTATGTTTAACTGAAGAGCTAACTAATCATCCAGTGGCAGACGCACCTATTCAAGACTCAAATTTCAAACCAAGGGTGGATGTAGAGGGTGAGTTGGGGTAACTCAGTAACTATGGCTCGAACTCTAAGTACAAATTTTTTATTCCGAACCAAGTAAATTAACGAGTAGTGGTAAAATCCCAAACTGTAACCCATAAAGTTCAAATACTGTATCTGCCTTGATTCAAATATCTCTATTCCTCGTTTCTTTTAGTTTTATAGTAGGATATCAAATTAATCATGCATAAGATCAAGAGAGAAGCAAATAATTGAGTCCCTCCACCAACATCAAGATGAATGAGAATAAAAGATTTGACTATTTTATTACATCCAGCAAAAGCAAGCAGAATAAGAGAAAGGCCAAAAAGAGAGAGGCTAAAAAAAGGTAGCTACAATACTAGTACTAGTAAAATAAAAGGCACATCTTTACCTTTTCTCTATACATATTTCTGAGTCTACCAGCCTCCTCATCCATAGGCTGATCAAGCTTTTGGTCTAATTCCCACATCCCTCCTTTAGTTTCATCCCCACTTCCTTCATCTATTCCCATCCTTGACGCTGAAGCCATCTTCTTTAAACAACAAAATCTAATACAAGATTATGCAAACCTAATATACAACATACATGCAAACCACCCAAACCTTTTTAATAAACCAAAGTGAACACTCAATTCAATTCAAAGAGCTGATTAACTTCCAACCCACCAAGAGAAAGTTGCTTTTGTAACTTTTTTCTCCAAAGGCCAAAATTGGGAATTAAACAGTTCAACAACACCAGTCATATAAATCTAAAACAAGATTCGATATTTTTTTTCTTTTTTTTTTTTTGTTTTTGATTGGTTGTGGGTTTAAATTCAGGAAGCTGGTGCAATAATTGTCATGAGTGGGGACAGCTTCCAATCAGTATGAGACACAGAACATCAGAAAGCCAATATGGAAACCTCTTCAGCTAAATAAACCAAGCATTTTCCTTATTTCCCCCAAAAGAAAGAGCTCAAAATTCAATTTGAACTCTAACAAATCCAACTGTAAGGAAAACCCAATTCTTGAACCGACCCAAAAGACAGAAAAGGGAGAAGAAAGATCGAAAAAATGGCTGCACAAAAAGAAGTCAGCTTTTGGGGGGGCTTTATTTTTAGATTTTTTGTTATTTCCTGTGCAGTTTGCGGCACTTCCTCTTTTTCTCCCCCTATTTATTTTGTTGTCTCATGAGGAAGGAAGAAGCATTTATTTACAGAACAAAACAGAGAAATTTAAATCTCTTTCATCTTCTTCTTCCTCTCTTCCTCTCTCTCTCTCTCTCTGGGAGAGAAGGTTATTAGAGAAAGAGAGATGTGTTCTTTTT